GTCAAGATATGTGGTGGCATCATCCATCGGTGGTGGGTTTGGTGGGGCAGTTTCTTCACTTTGCGAGTGCTCAAGGTCTGAGGTGGCATTATCTATCGACGGCAAGTGTGGTGGGGCAGTTTCTTCATTCTGCGAGAGGGCAGGTTTTGCGGCGACATCATCTATCAACAGTAAGTATGTAGGGGTAGTTTCTTCATTCTGCGAGGGGCCAAGTTCTGCAGCGGCGACATCTATCAACGGTAAGTATGGTGGGGTAGTTTGCTCATTCTGCGAGGGGTCAGGATCTGGGGTAGTTTTATCCATCGAAAAGTTTAATGGGTCAGATTCGTGCAAAGAGTCAGGATCTATGGCGACATCAGCTATTAAAGGTAAGTTTGGTGGAGCGATTTCTTTTTTCTGCAGTGGGTCGAAATAAATCGTCGAAAAACCTGCACCATCATAAGAATCAAACTCTGTGTGATCAAAAACTTCCTCAGGGTTATAGTTCTCTACATCTTCGGTAATGCGTCGTGACGCTGTCGGTACAATTGAAGTGCGGTTGGATAGTATTTTATTCTGAAATAAATTAAAAATGTTCTATTATTTTATATCTAAAATTTAAGTAGGTACCTACATTGTTCAAAGTTTTATCCTGTCGCGCATGTATTCTTTTACACGATTTTCCAAAATATATAAATTTACAAAACCTCGATCACGTCGTTTGGTCATTTTGTATGGGATGTAGAGAAATATAAGGTCTGGAAATTGGAAGCCGTAGAATAGAAATTGATTAAGATGATGTCTAGATAAACGATTCTTGTATAATTAATTGATGTCAATACTTACACATACTTTTAATTTTGATTTATTATAACTGTTTTCCTTTGATTCCAATGCCCTAGATTTAACTAGATATTCAACTCTTTTACGGTTTTTCGAGTTTGCTTTTCTAGACGTTTTAGAGGCCTGAAACAGGGAAAAAGTTATTATTATTAATAGATATTTATAGCACTAGAATATATTGCATGACATGCTACACAGAGCCATCTAACCTCAAACGTAACAGCTCGAGGCTTGTGTTATCGGATTTAAGGGTAAGATATAGATTACATGTACTGAACTGATACATGTACTGAGAAGTACTAGCGGCCGCAATAATTTTAGTTTTTTGAGAATGGAGAATAGCCCACGGGAAGCTGTCATTTTTCCGAGATAAAATCTAGCCTATGTCTCAATCCAGGTATATCCTACATGTGTACTAAATTTCATCCAAATCCGATCAATAGTATTTCCGTGAAAAAATAACAAACATCCATATTACAAACTTTGGCATTTATAATATTACTAGGAAGTAGGATATTTATCTAGAAACTAAAACTTAGGTTCAAACCCTCGTATTCATCATAGTAACATTTTCCTCACCAGAATTCGAACCCGGAACTTCTGAGTAGGAGAAATCGACAAAGCCTTGAAACCCGGCGTAATAATACTCTGCCACGAAGATAATAAAAAATAAAAATACTTACTTATTACATAGAGAAAATACCCTGGCCAATACAAACAGACATGATCATGCACACAAAATTGCATCTCGTAATAAAATATGATATTCAAAAATATAATAATACCTACATTTAGATACAACTATCTGAAAACCATGGACCATGCATGACTGTTTGGCCAGGATAAGTATCGAACCCAAGACCCTCAACATAATAGACAGGGTTATTAAAAAAATAAAGCCTATCAAATCATGAGTACAAAAGCTACAAAATGTGCGTAGGTACATACCAATAACTCTTGATTAACATTAATTCCCGAGCATTCGAGAGCTTGTTCCAAAATATTACATACACGTTTTCTTCGCTCCATTGTATTGATCTGAAACACACATAATGCTGTATTTTAAAAGGAACAACAATTAAAAAACTATTTGAATAAAAGAAAAAAATGCGGTAAACTTACAGATACAGTATTTCTTTATTGTAGGTGGGACGAGCGCGAGTGGTAGTAAGAGCGTGATTACAACGCGTGCGTGTTGTCGAAGCGACGTCCCATCGCACACTGTAGTATCTTTGTTCCTGTGTAACTAACTTCACGGTATGCGTAAGCGAGCGCGCACGAGGCTCCCGTAGGTATAACCAATATTTTGTCAGTGTATTCATTCAAGTAAAAATAGTATAAACACCTGTTGCGAGGTACCCGTAGGGTATAACCATCAATCAATAATACCATAACTACAAGTACAACTTACCTAAATATTAAAACAATATTGTACAACGGCAGGTAACAATTTACTAACCGACAGAAAATGGTGTACATAAGATCGGTAATCAAAGGTGAACAAGGTGTGTTGTATAAAACAAAAATAGGAGTTTTTAACTAAACGCCATCAAAAAACAATTTCAATTCAGTCAATTTGAGATAAGCGATTACAAAAAATATTCTTTGTCAGGAAGAAATTTACCATATTCATAAAACTAAATTTACAGGTGTAAGCAAAATAAGCTAAGTAAAGAAATTATCGCAACCACAACATGCAAATAATTACCAAGGCCAAAACTTACTTGTAATAGCTACGCCAACCAACAATTTAAAAAAAAATGATAATTTTTTTGTCTCTTAGAGACAAAAAAAACTGAAAATTCTTAAAATTCGTTATGCATAAGCGACATCAAAAGTCGTCGTAGAAATACGTGAATACGACCAATCGACGCAGAAAAATCCGACGGTTCGAACTGTATATTTAACTCAATATGACCAAAAATGTCGCTTAGTCAATATTTCCTTTCAACCGTCGATATTATTTTAAACTTTCATGGTCACTAACATTATCACGGTACCGTGGTCATGGCGCTTGCAACACTGCCGAAATATCGGAGACTCATGAAGAACAAGGTACATGGCAACAATCCCGTTATAAGCTTTAATACTGTAAATAATTTTGTTTTTTAAATACAGCCAATAATACAAAAAATATCTAATCCCTATGACAAAAACAAGAAAAAAACTGGCCAAGTGCGAGTCAGACTCGTGCACGAAGGGTCCCGTACAATAAACTGAGAAAGGAAAAATCATTTTTTGTTATCGTCATAACTTACAAAATGCATTATGAATCGGCGCTTTCAGTATTTGTTGTTTAGGAACAGTAAATTGGACATCATATACAAACATTTCGGATTCCCAACTGACTAATAATTACAACATTGACGGCTCTTATTTCTTGGTTTTAATAATAAAAAATGTTAAATTTATATTTGTATCCTACTCAAAGAGCTCTAGACAATGATATGTCACATGCTGGTGTGAAAAAGAAATCAATGATTTTCGTCTCCTTTTCATGTGTGGGACCCGCCATGAAAAATAATTTAATTGAATTTTTAACTAAATACTAAAATTTTAGTTTAGCAGTGCTATTCTGTAAAATTTTCATGCGCGGGTCCGATGTAAATCTGCGCGGTTCCACATCGGATCCGCGCGTGAAAATTTTACAGAATAGCACTGATGTTACTGATTCTATTTACGCTCTAGGGACCAGTGACATACAGGCATACAGACAGACGACAGAGTGATAGCAATAAGGTTCCATTTTTACCGTTTGGGTACGGAACCCTAAAAAGTTTAATTTAGTGTATATCTTAACCCGTTTCTGACAATACATTAATTACTTTTCCGCTCAGATGGTAAAGGCTATTAACGAACAAGGTAGATTCGGAAACAATTGCAAGCGATGACTTGGTAATATGTTACTATTATTTTTAATTAGCAACTGAGACAACCGCTTCCAGGTAACTACCGGATACGAGGCGTGAGTGCAAAAGTGTTGCTGCACGTCTAATGATGTGTCTTTTTAGTCACTAAAAAATATATTTTTATATTATCACCTTCTATATAACTATATGGACTTTGTTACTTCATACAATAACAAAGCTTTAACATGAAACACGTAACAAAAGTCACCATGACAAGTTTCGACAGCTCTGTGCATAACTACTGTTACTCCAGTCTTTCAGAGTTATCGACATAGCCTACTCGATTAGCAAGTTGAAGTGGCAGTGGGCTGGCCATATTTGCCGAAGAACCGATAACCGTTGGGGTAGACGAGTTCTGGAGTGGAGACTGCGTCTAGACAAACGTAGTGTAGGACGTCCTCAGGCACGATGGAGTGACGATTTGCGCAAGGTGGCTGACAGGAGCTGGATGCTAGTAGCCGCAGATCAATCTAAGTGGCGTGCAATTGGAGAGGCCTGTGTCCAGCAGTGGACTAGGATAGGCTGTCGATGACTCCAGTCTTTAAAATATTGTCTGTCTATAAATAGTAATGTATAACACTTATATAGGTGAACAACGCAAGAGCCGAACCGCGGCGTATGGCAGTCGCGCTGATGCTAATTTGTATGTATGGCATATAGGTACATCCGCCTAACGCCTATACAAATATGGGCAATATGTGAACAATTTCGCCTTACACATTACGCGCGATTATGCGAAGACTATTTCACTTTTAAATAGAAGGTCTCCGGCTAAAATACACCCACTCAATAAGATTTTTTTATTAAGTAAATTGTACGGAAGTGTGCACAAAACGCAAATAATATAAGATTCTATTACTATTTTCGATAGTAGGTGTATGTAATTTGACCGTTCATATAGCGAAAGTGCGAACAACTTGAGCCCAACACGTCCAAATTAATTACCAGTGTAATAACAGAAAGGAAACCGGGTGGCGTGCAATGCCGTGCGTGGTTTTTCATCGGGACAAAGTCGCGCGCAACAAGTGACGTCTCGACCCTGGCCACCAAAACCAAAAGATCTCTTTCCCTTTTTGTCTTAAAAGTGTTAACTTCGCGAATACTCGAAACCGTTTCGATGAAACTATTCATACTTTCGTATGATACTTTGCATTGCAGCCTCTGTTCTCTTTACAAACAGTTCGTATGAGTTTATTTACTTTCCGCCACTTTAAAAACAGAGCAGTGTTGAGCGCTTGCGCGAGAGACGAGTGAGAAGTCGAGAGAAGCGGGATGGGAGACAGTTTCACTCGCTCGGACCAATCGATTAGTCGCATAACGATAGCGACTTCTTAAATGCAGATGTGTCGTGTAGAGCGACGTCAGTCGGTAAGCGACAGGCGTCGGGAGCGCACGGGTATGGCCCCGTTAAGCCGTTGCCGTACACACGCTGCTCCTTTGTAGTGAACTACGCGCCGGGCTGTAAGGTCACCGCAGCTCTATGTGAGAACACGTTTCTTTCAGCCATCGTGCTAATTAAAACATAAAATTAGGGCGAAATAAAACTTCGTCAATTTCCAAAAACTTGTAATCACGACCTAAGTCTTGTCATCTTAAACCACGTAGAGAACACTATGAGTGCAAGTAAATTATGAAGTGAACAAAGAAAGGATTGTACCCGTACAGGTAAATACAACATTAGACAGTAATAGTCATAGTAATTGCGAATATATCATATATGATTACAATAATTCAGTTTAAAATATAGAACCTGCGTTTAAGATATTTCTTTTATAAATTCGACAATGTTTACTCTTTTCTAATATTAAGAAATTGTAGGTAAATAGAATTCGTGGTACTTTTATACAAATTATAAAATAAATACATTATATTTTTGTATTAGTATCTGTAGAAATAGTACTGAGATCTGAAAATAACAAACCTTCTTGGCTGTTCAATTTATGCGGATTATATTAAAACTGTAAAGGTACAATCTCTTATGCTAAACCATGATTGTAGTCAACTAATTTAACCCTTACTGTCAATTTTACCCCTAGAGGATACGAATGTACAATCTATAAAGGTACGATTAATCTGTCTCAGGCTTTATATCATGACTACTATTAAAAAAGAACTACACCCGATCACATTGTTTGTTGTTATTTTAAACCTTGTAGAAATAAAGTCTTTCTTTTCAAAAACGAAAATCATTTGATCACTATTCCGCTCGCCACGGATTTCTCAAAGATGTTAAATAAGTCTTTAAACAGATTAATAAACATTTCGTAGCAAGTCTCACGTTTCGTAGCTCGTAGTCGACTACGAAGATATCTGTAACTTAATGCTTTAGCGTTTACATAAACAAAAATGCTTTTGCATAAATTTTGTTATTGTTTGCTTTCCCGAAGAACAACGCAAGAATTATGAGATTTTCTTGATTAGGAAAATAATTCCAAATACAAAATGTGGCAGTTGTACTCCTTCGTCATATTGATAATATTTCATTAAAAAGGAAGGATAATGTTATTTGACAGCATGATTGCTGTTGTTTTATGTTTTCAAAAATGAAAAGATTGTAATAAATATCATACAGAAACAGAGGCTATTTTTACTGTTGTTTTAATATTAATAAACAATATTTCTCAACTCATATTTTAATTAAACAAAATTAGGTATTAAAATGCACGGATCTATGAATAAAATAATTATTAGTAAGCTCAGCACAACCAATTCCATGAGAATATTTTTTTCTTGTTTACTGTTATAAAAACATATTTTGAAGTTACGATTTGGATGCAATAAATTATATTTCAATGGATAAGTGTTTTTAAAATAGTTTATGCCCTGCTATGTTGGAATAAAACGTAGAATAAACTCTTATAGCTTAGATTTTCCACGTAGATAAAAAAAGCTTTTATAATCGGGTAAGTATGCACCGGTAACCTGTCCATATTATTTCTGGATAAAGCAAAAAAATGTCTAATAGAGCATAGTGGTGAAGCAGATCTAAATATTTTGGCATCTTCTTATTACCTAAAAGTGGTTACGTAGTGGTTCAAATTAGATCTTTATGAGATTTAAGGTTGCTGTATATATGTTATACTGACTAAATGTAGTAAAGTTGGGTTTCTTGCCGGTTTTTCTTAGTACAAGATCACCTGTCGCAGATTTTCGAATTAATGGCGTAGCGTTCGACTTTCACATGTGCTTGTAAAAGCCTAAACGGAATAAAATAATTTTGAATTTTCTATGTTTATTGTAAACGTGACAGTATTTGTATAGTTGTTCTTTTTATTAAAATGTATATTTTCTTTTTATATAAAATATAGGTAAAGCTTTCTGCAGTCCTCTATAAAAACTATCAATGATTCAAAAAAGTCTAGCACTCCACTATACAAAAAGATAATTATAAAGGATTTGCTTCGGGTTTTTTATAAAATGATGATTTGAAAGTGAATCTTATCTTTAGTTCTCCAATTCGCTCGTTCGTTACTTCGTTTTTTACTACATCTGCCAAAACTTTTCATTCTAAAAAATACTGTAAAAAAACTAAATAGGAAAAAAATTCTAATGGCTGTTATTGTTGAATACATGGCCACGTTTAAAATAGGATACAAGCTCAGTTAAAAAATATAAATCGGAAACATTTTTAAAGATTGAAAGGAAATCTTTGCATAACATAATTATATTAAGATAATATCTAATATATAAAATTCTCGTGTCGCGGTGTTTGTGGTTAAACTCCTCCGAAACGGCTTTCCCGATTCTCATGAAATTTTGTGTGCATATTGGGTAGGTCTGAGAATCGGAAAACATCTATTTTTCATCCCCCTAAATGTTAAGGGTAATCCACCCCTAATTTTTTTTTCAATTTTAGTTGAAATTTTTTTTTATGATACATCATACAAAAATACATACATCCCTAAATTTTCAACTTTCTACCACCAACCTCTATTTTTTATGGCGGTACGAAGTTAGCTGGGTCAGCTAGGTATTATATAATAGCTTCTTATTTTAATACTAAGTTAATAATAAAATACAGATTAAAAATAACAGGTGTCTCCATACACGTAACGTTGCCATGGCGATTTGCTAAAAGCATTTTAATCTTGTACTATGCAGCATCTGGCTTTTTAGTGTTCCGTAACCAATGGTAAAACCTCACAGTGAGGTTTTACTCGTATTAGTAAAACCTCACTGTGTGCCTGTCTGTCATCAACCTATATCACTGTTGAAATTTTTACAGATGATCAATTCCTGTTGCCGCTTTAACAAAAAAAAATAATCCCATGCAATGACCGCGTTTTTTGCCATTTTTTGCTCTATATTAATAACAGCAACAGGTAGACGCTTGAAATATTCACATAATAGTAACATTGTTGCTTTAAAAATAAATGTTTTTCTATTATAATTTTCTTTAGATTTAAACATCTAGCAGTTATTTGCTTAAAAAATAAATAATATAACTATAAATAATTAAACTCAAATATAATAGCTAATATAGCTTTCATGCAACAGACGTGATATTTTTGCCGTTTTTTACTCGATAATAGTTGCTAATGTTGTACAGATCATCATCATCATCATCAGCCTGTTAATGTCCCCACTGCTGGGGCACAGGTCTTTCGTATGGTTGGAATAAATATTGGGCCATGACCCACCACGCGGGCCCAGTGCGGATTGGTGGGTGCTAACGACTGCAGATGCAGCCGGGACCAACGGCTTAACGTGCCTTCCGAAGCACGGAGGAACTCGAGATAGTAATTATTGGTCACCCATCCAATGACCGACCACTGCGTAAGTCGCTTAAGTTCAACGATCGCAGCCGAACGCGCTAACCACTTGCGCCATCGAGCTCCTCGTTCTACAGATAATGGTACAAAAGTGCGAGTCTGACTCGCACTTTTATAGGGTAGTCCGTAATCCAGACAAGGAACCCTTATAGTTTCGTCATGTACGTCTGTCTTTCCGTCCCCGGTTTTGCTTGGAGGCTTTTAGCAGTAGAGAACTGTAATTTTGTGGAGATATGTATATCAATCATGCCGACAAAATGGTAGAATAAAATATTAAAAATTATTTTTTAGGGTTGGGTGTAAGGGAAAGGTAAGGTTGTAGTGACGACGCGCAACTACGGAACCCTACACTGCGCGTGGCATGATACGCAATAAGCCGGTTTTTATATAGCTAGATAGGCAAATGATGAGATGGCTCTATCCCACCTGATGTTAAATTGTGATAAAGCCAAGACGCGAAGATAACTAGCACTTGGCCGGCTTTTCTTTATAGATTATAAAATATAAAAAAAAAATAAGATTGCCCATCAAAATTGACGACCTCCTTGGCCGAGTGGTTTGTCCCTTCATGGTGTCGCCGACTCGAGAGGTCCCGGGTTCGAATCCCGGTCGGAGCAGATGTTTGTGTGATAAATACGAGCATTTGTACTCCAGTCATGGATGTTTAATATGTATTTCTATATAAATATACTCATATATATGAGTTTGTAATTTTGAGTTTATTTATTTGACCCTAACTACCGTAAACTACCACCGGTTCCAAAATTGGGAGACCTACCTGAGAGTTCTTCTCAGGTAGGTCTCCCAATTTTGGAACCTTTTGATGGTCTTGCAGTGTGTGCTCGGGGTTGGGATTTTATCTCCTGTATAATAGGTTCCCAAGCTGGTGGTATATACCAACCATCTTCCCTATTGAAATTTGGATATTTTTTAATCTCAATAGCCTCGCGCATCATTCGAGGAACGAACCGCCGCTCAGCTGCAAGGATCTGTGGTCTATCAAATCTAATGTAGTGGTTTGGTCCAAATCCAAATCCAAATCCAACCAAATCCAAATTTCAATAGGGAAGATGGTTGGTATATACCACCAATATCCAAATTTCAATAGGGAAGATGGTTGGTATATACCACCAGCTTGGGAACCTATTATACAGGAGATAAAATCCCAACCCCGAGCACACACTGCAAGACCATCAGATACTATTAGTTCTTTTTGTTTGCATAATTTAACATAAGAAGGAGATAGAAAGCCTCTCTTGAGTTTGTTTCGCCGGTTCTTCTCAGGAAGGTCTCCCAATTTTGGAACCGGTGGTAGTTTACGGTAGTTAGGGTCAAATAAATAAACTCAAAATTACAAACAAGAATTTTAAATAAAATACTTTATTAAGTAAATTAAATAATAAATTCATACATAGACAATAAAATTTTAAAAATCTTCCAATGAAATAACCGAACGCTCAATATAAGTCTTTCGAAGGTAGCTCGACAATTTTAAATAAAAAATCATTATTCTGACGATGCAGACCTGAAAAGGCTGCGAAACGTCAATAAATAAATTAAGTTTCGTGCATTAACCCGTAAAAACTAGTTTTATTTATTCCTAAATTTGTTTAGAATATTAATCGCTCTGCTCCGGATTATAAATGTAATCTATCACGACTTCAGATTTAACGAAATAGCATTATGTAATTTGGTTTTCTTTATATCGTTGCTTATATTAAAAAACACAAATCAACAATAATAAGGAAAAATCTGATAATATAAGCAATATTGCTATAGTGAAATATTGTTAAGACGATATTGGAAATCATAAAGCGCTCTGATTTTATTTTCTATTTAACGTTTACCTATTTTTGATACTTGTTGTGATTTACAACACTTAATTCATAAAGC